AGTTATCAGGGGGGGGGGTGCTATCTGCGGTGATCATCAGTTGGATAAAAAATCAGATTTATTTCTATCTTTAAAATATTCTTCTCATCCCTGTCTCGCGTTCTTTCATCTAAATTTTTATTTTATTCTCAATTCTTTTGCTCTTCATACATAAATTATAACTCTGCTGTTGATATTTTAACATAAAATATAGTCTGAAAAAAACCTCTTACTATAGACACTCCAGCTACTTCATAAATATATAAAAATGATCCATTACTTATTTATAAGAATTGAATTATGCAATTTATGATTAATGCAAAACTGGAATTTTACAAATATTTTAACTTCAACTTGCTTTATTTAACACGCCCCCCCCCCGTCCTCTCACCCAGCACTCATTTATTTTTAATAAATTATCGTTAAATAATAAATATTATTAATGTGTTCCACGTATAAAGAAAGAAACTGTAATATTCTGGTATTTTTTAATCAAACCAACTCCATCTGTAATTTAGCCCTAAGATATCTGGTTAAATTCTAGATCATTTTATCATCATAATAAATTATCAGTAAAACACAGAACTATAACTATTAAAGATAGGGTAGATGTAATTTCAATTTATACAAGGGCATATCCGATTCTTTAAGGTACCCTTTAAAGACAACGTTTTTTTTCTATCTGGAAAAGTTTTTAATTCTGACTTATTTCTTCTTTATTTCCTGCTATATAAATGCGCAAATCGTTTTTACAGAGAATCCCAAAAATTTATCATTATCTGAGATATAAAATGAGAGATAACTTTTTCTTTTCTTAAAGAAAGGTTTAATGGTTAGTACTGTTGAAGATCTGTCACTGCACTCTACAAATGGGGACATGTCACCTAAAGTTACACTTACGTTTGCATTTTGTTTTAAGCATTTTGAATCTTGTTGTATGCTAACATACCATATGGTATTAATTCCGATAAAGATCCTTAAAAAAAACTTAATTAATGTTAATCCTATAATCTTGGTTGGGCTATTTTTGTCCAATCTGGATGATTCGACCCAACGGCCGATGAGTCATGAACAAAACTGTTTCTTATTTAAAGGTTTAGAGAGTTTAGCTGTGCCATGCACTCTAGTTTTAGTAGAAGTAAATATTTACATTTAATGTATAGCGCCCATATAAGGATTTCTCTCTAATTAGATAATGAGATAGATAGACAGATAGATGTTACCACAATGCAATTTCTATTGGTTCAGAATAGACAACAAACACATGACTGAACCCTGATTAAATCAGGCTTCAGTCATGTGTTTNTATGAATACATTTAAGGAATATATAGAAAGAATTCAGATTTGAATACATTTAAGGAATATATAAAAAGAATTCAGATTTGAATATATTCAAGGAATATATAGAAAGAATTCAGACATGAATATATTTAAGGAATATATAGAAAGAATTCAGATTTGAATACATTTAAGGAATATATAGAAAGAATTCAGATTTGAATACATTTAAGGAATATATAAAAAGAATTCAGATTTGAATATATTCAAGGAATATATAGAAAGAATTCAAACATGAATATATTTAAGGAATATATAGAAAGAATTCAGATTTGAATATATTCAAGGAATATGTAGAAATAATTCAGACATGAATATATTCTAGGAATATATAGAAAGAATTCAGATATGAAAATATTTAAGGAATATATAGAAAGAATTTAGATATAAATATATTCAAGGAATATATAGAAAGAATTCAGATATAAACTTATTCAAGGAATATAAAGAAAGGATTCAGATATAAGTACATGCAAGAAATATATAGAAAGGATTCAGATATTAGTATATTCAAGGAATATATAGACAGGATACAGATATTAGTACATTCAAGGAATATATAGACAGGATTGAGATATTAGTATATTCAAGGTAGATATAGACAGGATTCAGATATTAGTATATTCAAGGAATATATAGAAAAGATTCAGATATTAGTATATTCAAGGTAGATTTAGACAGGATTCAGATATAAGTATATTCAAGGAATATATAGACAGGATTCAGATATATGTATATTCAAGGTATATATAGACAGGATTCAGATATAAGTATATTCAAGGTAGATATTATAGACAGGATTCAGATATAAGTATATTCAAGGAATATATAGACAGGATTCAGATATTAGTATATTCAAGGTAGATATAGACAGGATTCAGATATATGTATTATCAAGGTATATATAGACAGGATTAAGATATATGTTTATTTAAGGTATATATAGACAGGATTC